TATTGCTTGTTTTATTACTGTTACATATGAGAAATATTGTTTGTTATTATTAATTAAATTGAATGGAATATAAATATTCTGTTACTTGTTATATTTATGTTATATTTTTGCTAACCTTACATATATATATATATGATTAGCAGAAGGGAAAGGTAGCAGAAATTTTTATAATAAAAATACAAAATAAATATACTTATTTGCTCATTTTTATTAATACAACATTACAAGATAACCTGTGCACAATACGATAATATTATTTTTTATAAACAATAAAAAGTTTTGTAGAGTCTTTGGTATTCAATACTAAAGTTAATATATATAATAAACTTTGGCTTATAGAAAATATTTCCCATATAGCCAGCTGAGTATAATATTTTGCTTGATTCAGATAAATCTACTTTTTTACATCAAAATCCATTGAATCAATCAGTAAACACAACTGTTACATGGAAAAATAAATATTTTTTGGACAAAGTTACCCTAATGGGCCAGTTAACCTATTTTACAGTACTTAAAAACATTAAATACTTACAAACATTTTTTTAACCTATGACATTCAATACAAATAAAATATGTAATGCATTTAATACTTGCAAATAAAAATTTTTTTAATCTTTGGAATTCAACACAAATAAAATATGTAATGCATTTAAAAATGTGTAGTAAACTTAAAAGTAATGGACAAGAATGAGAATACCACATAGCAGGCTGTTTGTTCTGCTTTTAATTTTAATTCTCCTTTTCCTCTCGATTTTTCCGTTGCTTTGCAAATCGGAACCACTCCGCAGATATTGTATCCAGGTCTTTCTCTGTTACAACGTGATGTCCCAAAATGATGTCTATAAAGAAAGGCAAAATCCTTTGAATTGTGTTCATTATGCAATATATTACAAAAAAATATATAGGTGAATATACCTTTCATTACTGTAATCACCAATAATTTTGATACAGCAAAGTTTTGTCTGCGTCCTTTCCAGGAACATTTCATTGCACATTCATTAGAAAAGACTTTTGCCAAAATATTTCTAACATGTTCTCTCGGTGAATGGCCTCCGATTTTTTGTAAAAAAGCTTCCTGTGTGTGTGAAATAAAACGATTTTATTAAGTATGCAAATAGAATCAAATTTTGTTTAGTTGTACTTACATATTCATTATATAAAGTTTTATCATTTTTCAACTCAACTTCGATTTTTTTAATATCATCAACACATTTTAATGGTAAAAACGTCTTAATTCTTTCTGTATTAGATTTATTTTGACCGTTGCGAATATATTTGTTAGTCAGTTGTGTTGAAACATCATTTAATTCCAGGTGCATATCTGCTATAGCCCGCATTAAATTTTCGACATTTTCTGGAATAAAATAATATTTATAAATAAAAAAAAGATAAATCTGGATAAAGTAAAATTTTTATTTATTTCTTACTTTGTAGTTCTATACAACGCAATCAATTTTATACAATGATAAATATAAAAGAGAAGTAGATCTTTTTTGGCTTTAATGGCAATATTATACTATACTTCCAAATTCGTTTAATTTTAAAATATGACAAATATTGAATTTTTAAAAACGTATTTGTACGTGGAATTGGTACATTTATCAATTTATATATAAGTTTACAGTAAAAAAAAAAAGAACTTTACCGTCAATTCTCTCCAGAACATTTAATACAGTATTATTTTCTGTGCTCTTATTCGTATTCCACGTCCTTTCAGAACCACTACTTTCACTTTTAGATGCTGACATTTCAGAATGTTCTTTAACTAATTCACGTCCAGTTGTCTGCATCACTGAAATCCAAATTTAAAAAGATCCGTGTATGTTTTAGGATTAAAATACAAAAAAAAATATAAACTTACCATCGTTTTGATTATTATTTGTTACAGATTTAACGCCAATATTAGCATTATTTTGGGAACTCTGTATTTCTAGATCTGTAGGCCATACAGGAAGAGCTTTATCAATGTTTTGTTCGTTCCCCGAAAGATCACCTTCAGATTGTTCTTTGTTAATAGGTACATTTACTTGTTTTCTACCATAAACTTTCAACCTATTCTTAGAACTGGATCTACGATTATTCTTATCATTGTTCTTTTCTTTATTTTCATCTGTATCTGAATGATTGTCGTGAATAATAGATTTCTTTTTACGTTGCCCTTTACCCATGCATTGATCATCCGTTGATGTATAATTATCATCTTCTGCAGCTTTTCTCGCTTTTTCTACTGACGCTAAGAAAAAGACAAGAAATAAAATAATGCACAAATATATATATATATATATACTACAAACATTTTCATAAATAAAGGTTATAATTCTTACCAAAGTATTTTTGTATTTTCACAGAGATTAAGCTCCACGACTTTCTGTCAGGGTCCGCACGTTTCGATATTAACGTTGATACGTTTTTTACAGAGGTTGGTGGCCACCAGCACATAACTTCATTGTCATCTTCATGTATCCAATTTGTCGGCACTTCCGACACGGTATTGTCGGAAAAACACACAACTGCATAAGCCATTCTACTAAACAAATAAGAATTTTGTGTGTATCAGACATTGCTTATGGGCCCCATGGCAAAATTGTAGAATTTTTTTTACTGAATTTCTTATATTCTTCAATGATATAGTCTATGTACAGGAAAATTCGTATTAACCTACACATACCTTTATACTAGACTGCAATTATTGCACTGAGGTATAGGCATGCGACGGTGTAACCGCGAAAATCACGTACATACACGTTCAGATACTTCCAGATTCTAGATACTTCGGATGACAAAGACCGGTGAGGCATCCGCTGCTGCCGGCACGAACCCGCCACGAGCGAGTCATGTGGGGTAATTGACCAATAAGCGCTCGCGGGGTCACTATATAAGGCGCAAAATGCGCACTCTGACGTAGGCAAACGCGGGAGATTTAAATACGGCCTGAGACTCACGTCTACGTTTACACTTTTTCGCTTCATTTAGTGACGCTTTTCTTCGACGCTCTCTATATTTTTTTACAAATAATAAACTTCTATTTATTATAAATAAAAATAAAGTTTAGTTTCTTGTAAATTTTATAACTGTTCTATTTTTATTTTATTCTAAATACAATAATATTGAAGTTAAAACAGCGAAACAAAATTAATATTTTTTTCTTGCATTTTTCCTACTTCTACAACGTACTTGATTTTATTCAATGTCATTCTTTTTAGCACCATTTTGAAAATATTGAAAGATGTGTAAAAATTATAAAAAATAAAAAAATTAATATTACCTTTAGGCGGCGAGTACATGAGAAAATAATATATTTCGTCGAAAAAACGCTTCTTAACAACATAGACATTTTGTGGAAATCACGTTTCTGTTTCGTGAAACTGTAAATAAGTAAATTTAATAAGTTAATTTTTCTTTTTTTATTGTACAATTGTATGTTCAAGTATACTGCATTATTAAAATTAGCGTTAATAAGTACATTTAAATAGAAATATTAGGTACATTAGAAAAAAATTATTCACATGCAATAAACAAAAAACTCTTATATTATATTAATATTTATTTGCCATACATAATTGTTAATTGTCATGATGAAGCAATGGGACAATTGCTGACGTATCTCGTCCTGATATAATTTTTAGACACTTGTTTTTAACTTCAGAGAGCAAAATAGTAACATTTTCATCATTTGAAGAATTATTAATTTCACAAATATTAAGTCTTAAGGAGTTACAAGGTTCTGTAAACAACGGATTAATTGCTGAAAATAAATCACCAATAAGATGTAGTTCATTCTCATTTATGATAATTTGACTTACAACTAGTATCTCATTAGTTTTTAACAAACAGCAGTTATTCGGGTGTTTACTTGTAATTGTGAAATCTTTAAGTTCAATGCACTTAATATGCGTTCCTGTCTGTGCATAATGTATAATTGGATATGATTTTGATTCTTTTACAACGGGAATTTCATTTTCTTCGCGCAATCTATTACGTATTTGTTCTAATGGCTTTGGAGAATTTTGAACTTTGTCTCGTAAACTTTTTAAATAGTTTTCAAACTTGAAACAACTAAATTTGTCTAATGGGCCAAAAGTTTTAACTTCGTTAGACAAATGTAATAAATTGTGGATATTATATGACATGAATTGTCGTCCGTACAAAACTTCATAATTCTTAACAAAATATTCTAATAACTGACGAGCATAATCGTTTAATGCTATACATGTATTCGGATCACATAATATTCTTATTGCAATACTCAATGTAAGAAAATGAATATAATATGCAGCAGACAGTATTGACTTTAAAATTACTGGGCCTATATAAAGCAAAAATAATCGGAATTCTGTAGCTTTCCACTTATCGACCTCTGTTAAAGTGCGAGGTAATCTTGAAAATTCAGATGAAATTGACGATTTAGTTGCTACAGTTGCATCAGACAAATCTTTTTGATTATTTTTACTTAAACGACTATTGTGCGGACCTTTCACCCAGAAAAGGAGAAGACGTTTCATAACTCCTAAACATATTAAGTGCATGTAATCAATTGCAATTTGAATAACCATATCAATATTCAATTCCTGTAAAATTGTATCACCTGTATGGTGTTCTTCTTGTTGTTTATTACGAAATGATTCGTCGGTTCTCATTGTAAAATTTGTTTCTGGAAAAACTACGGAGTTAATGTATTCTCCTTCCTGAGTACATTTATGACAGCAAAAATAACCAGAATGGCTTTTTGTAGACATCACAAAAGCCATTGCTGGAGCATCACAGACAATGCCTGCAATTTCAACTAAACATTTCTTTCCACTATAAAAAAAACCATTTTGTTGAATTTCTGTCATTTCATTAACAAAAGGTCGTAAAAATTTATTTGCATTTGTTGGTTTTGAGTACCCGTGATAAATTCCTACAGCGAATGGTCTTATATAAACATCCGCTTGGATGGACACCAAAATAGGCCAAAATTGGCTTCCGGAACTTTTCGACAAAGACATTCCGTCACAGTTAATTAACAATTTCACAGAATCTGGAACTTGTACGAAATATTTTTCTATTGACCGCTGAAGACCGACGACAAGTCTAAAATGTACATAAGAACCGTTTCCCACCGTTGTCGTAATTTCACTAATTCGGGGTGTGTGCATTAAAGTTCGGACGTCTTGAGGCAAAGTTTTATGTCCATTATTACGCAATATTGTTAATAATTTTTTAACAGACCTGTGAGAAATTCTCTCTGTATTTACCCAAGATCGTAATTCACTTTGTAAATTATTCTCACTTTTGTTTTCATCAAAATCCAAATTTTGGTTTTCTATTATATCAATCTCTGAGAAATTTGAACCTGAAAAGGAAGTATGTTGCTCTATTTCAATCTGCACCGCATCTTCTTCATAATTCTCAACTACAGGTGAAGTACGTGAAGTGACAGATGAAAACTCTGAATTCGAAGGGCAGAGACGTCCAAAATTGTCACCAACGGTTGATTCGTTGTTAGTAACATTAATAGATGTCATGAGTTGGAGTGTTTATTTCCACACAGACTACATTGTCTAATGCAAGATCTGAAGAAGAACCACTATTTGTATTAGAGATATCCGTATTTCTGTAGGATTCAATTTTTTGACAAATCAGCTGATTTTTTCGTCTCTTCGACAAATATTGTAGGTCTTTTGGCATCTTTTTATAATAATTACCACTAAAATTGAATTAAATTTTTATATTTAATAAAATAACCATAAAATATTTAAAAAAATATAGTAAGAATTAATTAATATATAAACATAATGCGAATATTTATGATTTTTTGTAATAACTTCTCATTGTACATACCTGGATATTATATTTATAGCTATATATGTTTGTTCTCGTTTGGTCACTACCATCGATCAACACGTACCTTTTGTCCTCCTCAAGGATATACGTGGTTATTTGGCACATTTCTCCAATGTTTCTCTAGCCCCCGCAACAAATCTCTTTCCCGACAGTTATAATAATCACTTTGGTCCAATTAAAGGTTAAGAGCAACACGTGCTTTCTCCACGGCGGTTAAGACCATCGACGCATATGTCGATATGTCGCATATGTCGATTCTATATATATATATATTTTTTCAGCCTAAATGGGAACTTTCACTATAGCTGCGTTCGGGAAGCGAGCTATCAACCTATAATTGTATTCTTATTACATCTAATTAGCGATAAAAATAGTATGA